GGTTTCGAACGAAGCCTTGAAATTGATATTTTCGTGATATCTTGGATCGTTTTACTTTCGAGAATGACTTTTTGACACGGGCAGGATCGTACCAAACGCGAAGCAATCCTAACGATAGAGGTACGTATAACGCGCGAGAAAAATCGGGACGAAAAGTAAATAGCAAGATGCGGAAATACGGGACGGTTCCAGCTAAATGTATCAGAATTATTCAAGAGTACGGATGAAACTGGACGAACGCACGTTGTTCAACGATGTACATAGGTTAATAGCCATAGGATCGATCCAGAAACCAATGTGACCTGAAATTAAAGAGAGTTGCGTGTTGTTACGAGGTGTGGTCATTTACCACTGCGTTGTGAAAGCAAACTATTTCGAGTATAACGATAAGAATTAGTATCCTACGGTTGAACCGGGCGCGATTGGCGACCGACGCTCGCCCCACCATAGTCGCTCGCCCGTTCGCCCCGCCCACTGTCGCATTCCCAAGAGCAACAAGCGAGCGACGCGCAGTAGCCAGGGTACTCGAGGAAAGCTACCGCGCGAGGAGTGGGGGCAGGCGACGCGTGCGCGAGAGTTCTGCGTGGGGGAGCCTACTGGCGTGCGACGTCGGCCGGTCGAACGTTACAATTCCGAACCACGGGCGGACAGAGGCTCCGCGTCGCGACGCCATTGCAGTTCGCCCGTAGACGTCCCACGCCACTGTGCGGGGCTCCCTGCGCGTGCATAATGACTTCTCCCGAGCAGCCTGGCAGTGAGAGCGTACCCCAAGTCGCGAATCGAATCCGCTTCAGCTTTAGTCTAAAATAAATTTATCGTCAAGCAGTTGCGTTTACATTTGTATAAATAATTAGCGACGACGCGGAACTCTGGGGGCGTCAGCGACAGAGACACTGAAATTTTCTATCAATGTAAAGGAAATCGCACGAGCAATTTGGACTTCGAAACCTTCGTGAATTCGAGGAAATATTGTCTAACGTGTCGCAGTATATCAACTATGTTGTCAATGAGGATTAATGTACGTTAATGTTTAAGGGAATTCCGGCGGGCATTACGTCAGCGAACAATTGCGTTGCGCCGTCATAAACGTGCGCGACCGATTCCGCGTAGCCGTGAATCCTCGAGTCGACACGACCTTCCGCAAGTTCCTTCTCAAATTGTGTGCGTGTACGGTCGATCGGGAAAAGTTCTGGCAGCGATACGGTATACGTGAACTGCCGAGATTGCGACAACCGGACGATGCAGTTCCCTTGTTTTAAGCGCGGCACAAAATTACAGTCCGAGTTCGCGTTAACTCTCGAAGTACCGAACCGAGGTTTTTGCAAAATTAATCTTTGTGAGTTGATTGATCTAAGCTCGGAAAAACATACTGAATTGAACGTATCACAGTTTGTTCGCCAGTCGTAATAACTGTCCACCCCCACACCCCTACGTTGACTAAAACTATTTTACTATTATTACTATTATTAAAACTATTTTACTAGTTTTACGTTGACCAAAATAATTGAAGTAAACTGGACAGTAACTTATGGTTACAACAGTGAACGCATTTTACACGATTTCTTGCAAAAAAACAGGCCACAAAGCTGAAAAATATCTTCAATTAAGTAAATGAAAATGAAAGATATCTTTAATCAAGAGATTCGTAATAAATTCGGAACAAATTGCTTGCTTACAGTTTGCTCCTTCGAAAGCACGAAGAAACGATGAACAATGTAAATAAAGTAGTTACAAATGTATTTGGACAGGGCCTTCGAGAGTTAATAAACAGCTGAAACTCGTTGAACAAACACGAATTTCTTTTATAAAAATTGCTGTAACCTTCTGGAACATTTCGTTTCGATCCGATTGATTTCTCGACCAGCGTCGCTGAAACGTTCTGTTAACGAATGCGAGATAAATATGAATAATTTTCGAAAGGAGAGTGCGCAGAGAGAATTACAAACCATCGGATCAGTCCATAAGTTGATGCGTGTAATTATTTTTAACGTCATTGTGTGGGGCACATTCTCTATTTAAACCGAAATCAAATAACGTATTTTCATGATATATCCTCGCAGAAGTGTAAACGTAACAATATCACTTTATTTTTTTACCAAAGGAACTATCGCAAAATCTATGCACAAACTTACGGACTAATCTGATAAATACGCCGTAAAAATCGTAGAATTAAGGTCGAACCTACAAGGACATCAGACTATAATTACGTCAGTCTTTCAAACTAGAACATTCTTATATACAAATTATCTTCGATCTATCGCCATGTATTTTCAGTCGCCTTTTTAACTTGCGTTCAATCGGGACGAGTAATACGTATTTGTAATACGTAATTTCCAGGAATTAACGATATGCATCGATTGATTTTGATTCAACGCGCTCGATTATCCATGGAAATTCCAAGTATTCCGCGTATTTTCTGAACCAACGCGATCGGAGGGGTGTTTTAGGATTCGGCACTTCGATTATTGTGTACCGCGAGTTTTTCGATTGAATAACCGTCGATATTTAATTTTAACGTACAATTTTAAAGAATAACATAAAATAACAAATAACGTATAATTTTAAAATATCTGTACAGTAGAGGAAAAGAAGAATATTCAATCAACATAGGACTAACGCGTACACGATAACAAAAGTGTAGCTCTATTCTCATCCGAATGTTTCTTTTCGCAAAATTACGAATTGTGAGCATCGAAAAAGCAAAAGATCTGATTGGCGCATAAAGCTCTATTCTCATCCGAATGTTTCTTTTCGCAAAATTACGAATTGTGAATATTGAAAAAGCAAGGGATCTGATTGGCGCATAAAGCTCTATTCTCATCCGAATGTTTCTTTTCGCAAAATTACGAATTGTGAACATTGAAAAAGCAAAGGATCTGATTGGCGCATAAAGATACGTTCGTTATATTTCTCTGTTTTTTTTTTTATTGACACTCGAACAGAGTCGACAACACGCGAAAAAGCTGCTCGACATGATTAACCCTTTCGGTACGAGCGCCGGATATATCCGGCATCCATTTGATGACCAATATGGACGAGTGCCGAATACATCTGGCATCCATGTAAGCCATATTTCTGTAGGCCCTTTACAGAATGTTTACAGGAAATATTTAAAGAAAGATTCAGAAACGGATTAAGCACAGTCATTACTTAACGCTTAAGAAAATCATCGTACAAAAGTGGACTGACCCTGCGTTATGTGCGCATTTTCGGCGCGGCACCCCGTACAGTGGGAGTGCCACGGCGGACAACGCGCTCGTACACCGAAAGGGTTAAAGGTTTTAGTCTACACTTCTCTGTTCGGTTTTCGTATTTAAGCTATCGTAGCAGGTACAAATGCGTTCGCAAAGTGAGCACTTTAATTTTAGATTTTTACATCGTCTTTATAGATTCTATGTGCGTAATTTAAACGGAAGAAGTAACGCGCGAGGTACTTAAAACGGTTAACAATGCGAAAAGTGGAACGACGAACGAAGTCTTCGATTGTGAACATTAATAATACACTCACTTCGACCGTCTCGTATTACAGACACCCGTCTCGCACTCGTGAATTACGTTACCGAAATGACGGAAACGCGAAAATTGTAAAGTATCGATATAAGAGGGGGAAAAGGAACTCCGAATTCGAATAAATCGTTCGTTACGTTCGCGAACATGTTGCAGGTGTTTATAGAAAATCTTACTTTCGTAGGCTGTCTCGAAAGCAACGGAATCAAATAAATTGGTGTTTTAACGGTGATCGATTTTATCGAATGAAAAATCAAAGTTTCATTAACCCTGATTTTCATGTATTGCTGAAACGTGTTTTTCATGAGTTTAGGGGTGAGCGAAAGCTCTGTGTGGTCTAACGATGATCGAATTAGCGTCAGAATTTATTTTACCAAATCTTTCGATCGGATATGGAACGCCAATTGCAACAGAGAAAATAGTCGTTTTGCACTCTTTCCCGGTTTTGTTGAGCTCATTCTAACGGTAAGATTAATCTACGACCATGAAAGGAGGGTACGAACGGCCGTATGTAATGTAAAATAATAAGAACAGAGAAACAGAGAGAGAATGTACCTATATCTATTCTATAACGTGACATATTATCACGCGACGCGTGCATGTAAATTTATTATAAATAAATTATTATAAAGCGGCATCAATTTTATTCGTATCCCCACCAATTTTGCAGCCCTTATTTCAACCTTGACACTTTTGTCTTAGGTTAATCCGCTAGATTTACAGGACGCGTTAAAATCACGTGTTCCAAATTTTCTACAATAGTACACTTATTCGGATTATTATATCGACATTTATCATAATATTTTTTCTTAGAAATTAGAAAATAATAAATTAGAATAATATTAATAATTATATTAATATTATTCTAATTTATTATTTTCTAATTTCCAAGAAAAGATATTACAATAAATATCGATATAATAATCCGAATAAGTGTATTATTGTTGCTTCTATAAAGTAATACGAAATAGTTGCTTTCAGTGCCCCGAAAAAACATAGTGTTAATTATCATCCTGCAACGGATGCTGTTTGCTTATCCATTCTGTGTGCTCAGAGCCGACCCTAGGGGTTGCGGGGCCCGGAGTAAGCCTGACCCTTTTAAAATTATGTATGTATATTTAAGCTATCGCATCTGAATAAAAATATATATGCATTAGCTATGAAATATACAACTATAAGCGTAACGTTACATTTTACATTTGAATTTCCCTCTGATCGCCATTTGTCATACGGTCGCGCCATCCCAAATCATACCTATGCCCGCGTGGTCATGCATAAAAGCTACCTGGTTACTTTATTTTAGAAACTATCCCGTTCCTTCTTATATATAAATGCGTATCGTTGAATAATTTTTACACGTATTAATTGTACGATAATTTTTTACGCTTTACCCTTCTTTGTTTTAAATGAGCTTGTCTCACGATTTAAAATGTTATTTGAAATCGTGAAACTGAAAGCCTACGTCACTGGTTCGGATGTGATAGGAAGTGACGTTCTTACAGCACAGTGTCTGACAGTGTCCACGTAGCGCTTCGAATCTCATAGAACGTAGCTTTTCGTATGTCAAACATCACTTCGTAAAGCGTTCTCCGGTTGTACACGCCGTAAGTATGTTACCTTTTATCAATTATTTTTTTGTTCTATTCGTCAGCTCTAAATTGAAAATCATAGAGTGACAGTGGAGTAATTGATATTTCATCTAACCTGTAACTCATGTTTTCTGTAATTAATCCGCTTAAAACTACAGTTATCCGCAGTTAAATATAGTTGAATATTCACACGATATAACTCGTATGGCTTTTTGTCACTGCCAAAAGTACATTTTATACGCCGTTCGCATAAATATTTGCGTCGATTGTATTCGTATACTTATGTATCATTTTCAATGGTTTTAACCCGCTTTATTTACAGTTCACCGAACACAATGGATCAAATGAAGAAGCTGACAGAGCCTAGCAGGCAATTTGCTAAAGACAGTATTCGTCTTGTCAAGCGGTGTACAAAACCTGACCGCAAAGGTGAGTTCCCATATTTTAAAATGGTTGATTAATTTTATTGTTAGTTCTATGAACAGAATATTTAAGCACGCATTCTTCTTCAGAATTTCAGAAAATTGCCCTAGCCACGGCTATCGGCTTCTGTATAATGGGCTTCATAGGATTCTTTGTCAAATTAATACATATCCCAATTAACAACATTATTGTGTAAGTATATTGTCTAGCTTTGTTTATACTGAATAATATCTCTTAACATGTATTTCTTACTTTACATTTAACTTTCAGAGGCTCATAAATACTCCATGAAAAATAGGTGCAACGAAGGTTTAGCAAGGCTATTTTCTCCACCCTCATCGTGTATCTTTATTTATGAAATAAATTGTGTTCACTTCTAAAATGATCATGATTAAATTAACGAATGTGTGTATATATCATAATGATACATTTTGTAATAAAATAAGTATATAAAAGACACGTTTGTTCATTTTACTCAGAGATCTGTGAATGGGTATGAAAGAAGAATTGTTATTAGTATCGAAGGCACTTTTATTTAAAGAATAAAATTTTTCCTTAGGTTACAACGATAAAATTTCTTCAGCCATTTTTCTAGTTTAAACTCAATGCATTTCTCCTAAGGAAAAATAGCTGTCGCATGGAAAACCATGGCCAGGTACTCAGTAATAAAAGAAACAATAGTACGATTTTGTTATGACAAATAGAGAATCTTATATACTGTTCGCTAACATGTTATTAGAATTACTCTGCGCTTATTTTCTAGAAAGACTTTTCAATACGTTTCACTAATAAAAGGATGAACTTATGAAACAGATATTGCTGCATCGCGACATCTGAGATTTCAATAATGGCAGTATGTATTAGAGATAGCAAACGCAACTATCGAAATACATTTTATAATTTTTCAATTTTATCCGTAGCTCTTGACAATTGTGTGCTGCAAACGTGACCGAAATATTTTGTTCATTACAAAATGCAATACTTTCGAACGGTCCCCGCATAATATTACACGTGAAAAATGATTGAATAGGAGTGCTTATAATAAATTTGTTACAGATCCAATACTCTTAAAATCCTTTCAATCTGTCAGTAGCATTAGTAAGATGCTTAACGCTTAACGGACGAGCCACGTAAATTTACGTTCTTTCCATTATGACTTTCCGAGATGGATTACATGTTGATTCACGTTTTCGTTTGAATTTTTATTAAAAATGCCCGAAGACAGAGAAAAAGAATAACCCGCCTGTTAAACGTTAATGTTTGCAGATTCATGTAAAATGATGAATAAAAAAAAAAGAAGGTCATATACATAAATAGTATGTCCGATAATGTTACTCCTTGAACTCACTTGCATTAGTAAATAGACGTTGATATTACATGCTTAACATGTGTATTAAACTATTAAATACTCTCTTCAGGCAACTTAATAAAATTTATATAAAAAAAGCAAATATATATAATATATGTAGCACCACACGTGTGTGACTGTTACGTGTTGACGTTCGTCTTGCACATTTACAACTATACTTAAAACATTCTCGGATGACTAACATATTTATACTTTCTACATGTATTTTCAGAATATGCGAATATAACCTCAGAGAGCTGATGACCACTTAAAACGAGAAGATAATAAAAAGATATTTGTAAACAAATTTGTTGCCATAATTTTAACGACCTTTTCCGTCTCTGAAGTAATATCCTTCACGAAGGTCCGCGTAAATCCTTCCCAAAAATATCTCGGTAAAATTCGGTAAATAAATTTTACCTCTGCTCGATAAATGTGTCAAAATTTTTAGTCGACGCGCATCGTACAGGTTGTTCGTCAAGTATAAATCGGTTAGTTCCTTAAAATCGCATACTGTGAAGAAAAAAACAATAAGAGGAAGACTTTGTCTCACTTCCGTCCCGACGAAGTGCAAGAAAAATCTTCTCCTTCGTTAGATCAATTGACGGTAACATTCCGACGAAGAAAAGCATTTTAGTCCGTGGACTCGAAGCGTTTCACTATTAAACTAATTTTTGTAAATTGCAAGAACGCGTAAGCGTAGCCCCAGTGTGCGTTTGCAGGATCCCTCGCAACAATATTCAGGTAACAAAAGAAAACTATACAGGGTGTCCCAGGTTTTAATGTAAGTAAACTTTTTTTAATTTAAGTAAACTTTATTAGTATATTCTATGGTACAAAGTAAGAAAAATATGTTATGCGAACATAGGTCATACAGAGCTTGATTAAGAAGTTATAACAAAAATTCAGAATGGGAATAGTAATCAACTTGCTGTTACTGAGAGCATTGGCTTGAATAGATCAGCACATGCCGTGTGTTTATGTAAGCTGTGTTTATTAATACATTTCCAAATGTATTAATAACCGTTGTTGACAATACATGATTCACGTCGATCGAAGATTTTTCTTTACTTTTTATTTTTTTTTAGATGATTACTATCCCTATTCTGAATTTTTGTTATAACTTCTTAATAAAGCTCTATATGACCTATGTTTACGTAACATTTTTTTCTTACTTTATGCCATAGAATACACTAACAAAGTTTGAACATTAAAACCTGGGACACCATGTATATGTATAATCCCTTGTTCTGTAGGCTCTGATCAATGTTTCTGATGGTTCTTTGGCATTCCCTCACAATATCACTGTCACCCAATGTACCCACTGTGTGATTCGACAATTAAAATTTCAACGAGAACATGATCAGAGCTGATAGACCGTGCACGTTTACAGATCAATAAAAAATTCATGTGTTAAAGTTTCTCTCTTTAATCTATGATCAAGCTTTCTGTGAATCGAACAAAATGTGAATTTACTTTGAAACGTCCACAGTCCAGATATTACATAGGCAGCATTAAACGTTTGGGAGAACAATTTACAAGGCAAACGCACAAGGGGAGGGTAACTACCCACAATAAAGTTGAGGTATGTCGTTCGGCTCATGTCATATTAATGAAACATTTAATAGTCATGTAATTAACCGTTCATTAACTGTTAATAACGCTCGCGCATTAACGTATATATCTGTATAAAATATGCACATATATATATATATATATAATATATAATATATAATATTAAATATCATTCGATTATTCGTATAATTATAAGTATCCTTTGAACGCGTCTCGCAATCGCGTCACAGTGTGATAGTCACAATCAATATCAGAAGACCTTACATACTGAGTTATATATTTTCTCTCACTGGTGAATCGAGAAATAGTCACATACAAAATAATGCGTTTCATTTTAGAACAGGCTCTCTCGATTTTCGCTTAAAGCAACGGAATGTCTTTGCAACGTTCTCCCTTATCGATTTCGATCTTAAATTGTCGGGTATTTAATGAGTTTACGGCTTACAGCAATGGCTCGTAGGCATTCACCGGTAATTGAACGTATTCTTCCTCGTATTTATCGTTCGATGTTATTTACTACTAAGGCCTATACACATAGAAGAACTTCGAATGTTTTACTGTGAACGCCGCTCAACGCATCGACGCATGATTGTTTCTTCGCTATTGCAAAGACAATCCGTTTCTATCTTACATTAATCCGTTGTATCGATTATACCTTAGAATGTCACAGTACTTACATTGAAGGAATTGGTTACTTACTTGCAAGAAAGGGTTACTTTCAAGGAATGTTTTTAAGTGTGCTACGTTGAACACTACGTTTCGAGTATATGGGGATATGTTAAAAAAATGGTGGGGAAGAAGACAGAAAGTGGGGAGAAGGAATATGAGAAACAAAAAAGTGAATGAAGGTACCGAGAAAGAAGACACAGGAGCGCGCAGTTACGATATAATAAATCGACTTACAAACTACAGACTTGTAATTAACAGAGAAGAGAAGGAGATCCGGGAGAATCTGATTTACCGGACACAAAACAAAGGGAGACCCGGCAAGGATGGTCAAACATGATACTCTCCAAACATATTGTGAATATTATTATCACGGACGTAGTATAGAATCTAGCAAGTAAGTAGTAAAATACTTTTTTTAATCTCAAAAATATTGGGTCAATTTGTTATTTAGAATAATTTGACCAGAATTCATTTATGTCTTAGCAGTTTATACCCTTGTCTTTATATCCCTTAATTACTATACGATTTCAGATTAATTTTAATCTTTGTCTGTTATATTTTCATGATTTTATTCACTCATGTCTTCTTGGAATGCATGCAATCATTCTCCTCCTCCCTCCCCTCCCTCTTAAATAAAGTAATCGACCAGCTGAGATGTCATATGTTTACAGTTTGTCCAATCGGTAAATCAGATTTCCGAAGAGATTACTCCCGAAGATGGCGCAGCAGGGATTACTTGTAACGAATAAAGCTACTAGACTGTGCAACTGGCGTCTGAGGTTGGCACAAACGAACTCTCTTGCCTGTAAAACTCGCCTTCGTAATCCTCCAGCTTCACCGGGTACTCCGATACACAGTTTTGAGGCTGGTTCAACGCTGGCGGTGGATGCACAAAGTTCTCCTGGTAACTAGGCAGATGCAAAGGCTCCGCATACTGTTGATACGAGGTGTCCGCGCCACCTTGTTTCAAACAGGTCGGCCCGTGCAGGCTCAGCATGTCCACCAGCCTACGCCTTTGCGTCTCCAGCTCCTGGATCTGAGACTTCAGGTCATGGTTCTGCGTTTCCAGGATCTCAGACTCTTGCACCAGGATCACTGTCTTCTCGCGTTTTTTCAACCGACACTTCGTAGCAGCGATTTTATTCCTCTCGCGTCTCCTTCGACGCCTTTCCTCGTCCTCCGGTGTCAACTGAAAGGGTTTCACATTGTTTAGATTATTGATTCTTCTACTTGTAAGACGCGATGCAATTATCGGCATGGAATTAGACCGAACGAAATCATTTGATTGCTATATTATGGATCTTGTAAATGTAAATTGCATTTTTTTTTTAACAAATATTGACTACAGTAGAAATTCTATTAAGTAAATAATGCTTCAAGAAACAAAGAAGAATAATGATTTCAGCTACTGTAAATCTGAGAAAACCTTTGGGCTAATTGTTTCAGTAAAATATACAGGGTGAAGAATGTAACTTTCAATTACTGTCTAAGTGGGTCCACTTATGGTACTTGAAATAATTAGAATTAAAAATCTTCTAAACTAATGATCTTGTCATATAAAAAGGTTAATACTATTTTTGCACGGAAAATAGATTAGTGTAATAATAGACTAATATAATAATAGACTAGTGTAATAAAATATTTATAATTGCACTGCAAAAAGCAAATTTCACCTTCATGTGGTCTCTATGCGTCCACTTACAAAAGGACCGATTACATTAAATTATGTTCCTTTTTATTCAATTTTGGTCTGCAACATTTTTTAAAAAAGCCTTTTTAAAGCCGTTGTTTAGAATTCAGGTTTCTCGAAATGAACCAGGCCTTCTGATTCCCGTCCCGCATCTCCCTCCCCTTGGTCGCCTCTTTCAGCTTGGAGCACCTCAGATGCGTGTATCTGTTGCTTTACGTATGTGTGTGCAGCATTTTGGCGACTACGGGAAGCGAGACGCGCGACGGGAGTCGGGAGACGTAGCCCTCGCGTAGATCCTCATATGTTGCGTGACGGTTAATTCCGAGCCCTGGTTTAGACAGTAATTGAAGAGGTTTCATTTACATGCGCCACCCTCTATTTACATGTACATGTCCTGCAACAGGTGGGGAACATATGGGATGATTCTTCATAAGAATACGAAACAAAAATCATTGTGATTTTTGACAAAAAATAATTGTGAATTTATCGTTGCGTTTTGGTTACTAATATTTCAAAATCGTCCGAACTTGAATCAGTAATTAATTCAAAATTAAACCTAAACCGCGATATCTTTTTATTCTTGATTCTCATACTAATTTACTATGAAAAATCATTTCTTGTATTTTCTCTCATCAACTTGAACGCATCAGTCTTTCGCGTTAGTACTAAATTGATACGGCAAGTGAAACGTTTTAAAAAAGTGACATAATGATCTGACTACGATACTTGTTATATCATCCCCCTGGCAGAAAATATTCGATCTACATCATGAATATATAACTATCGAAGGAATTATTTGATGTATCAATTGAACTGACCTAACAACTCAAGATACTATTGTATGTACATTTAAGGAGTTAACGGCACTTTGAACGTTGTAAAAATATTGTTAAAATGACAAATGGTCTTGCCCCTTTTATCAAACATACATAAATCATACTTTAACGAGCTTAAGTAGCGTGGCTAAGTACTAGATCATTTTTCAATACTTCGAACGATGAGGATGACGATAGAGATTGCCAAAAAAATGTTTCTTAACTCTTGGGGATGGTTGAACCTTTCTTCGAAACGGTGTTAAGTGTTTTCTCATTCCGTACCTTCTAAAAAAACAAACATATTCATTTTTATATTAATTATCTTCCTTGTCATCAGCAAACACATTTTTCAGGTCACATGTATATGTATTATGTATGTATGTATATTGATGGTTATAATGACAGACGCTCAGCCTGTTTGATCGAATTCTTTTTACCAGGGATATTTCGATAATTTTTGTTACGAGTGTAATTTCGATAGTCTCAACACTGATTTTCGAAATAAGAAATCTAAAATGTAGCACAGGTCATAAGAGCTGTCCTCTCATGCTCCAGTTCTATGACATGTGATTTAAGGTAGTGAAGTGGACAGCTATTATGACTGTTGGTAAATTTGTAGTCTCTTTTCAAAGATAAGCCCGTGGTTTTAATAAACAGTAAATTCTCTCCAATTGTCGCTCAGCTTGCAAGCTAAAAGTTCCGTAACTTACCGAAATCTACAAAACGCATTGTTTAAATTTTCGTTATAGGCTCAGATAAAAAAAGTTAAAAAACGAGAGTCTTTTATTTTGTATTGTCATTCCCAGTAATAGCAAAATTGTAGCAAAGTAGTTTAGCCATTTTCTAGTCCTTCTATCGTCTAAAAAAAAATTCAAATTCTAGTTTTAAAAAAGTTGTCGCGTTTTAAAAAGTGTCCGAAAATTAATGGGAGTCACTGTACGTATAGTTAAAAAACGAGAGTCTTTTATTTTGCATTGTCATTCCCAGTAATAGCAAAATTGTAGCAAAGTAGTTTAGCCATTTTCTAGTCCTTCTATCGTCTAAAAAAAAATTCAAATTCTAGTTTTGAAAAAGTTGTCGCGTTTTAAAAAGTGTCCGAATATTAATGGGAGTCACTGTACGTATAGTTAAAAAACGAGAGTCTTTTATTTTGTATTATCATTCCCAGTGATAGCAAAATTGTAACAAAATAGTTTAGTCATTGTCTAGTCCCTCTATCGTCTAAAAAAAATTCAAATTCTAGTTTTGAAAAAGTTATCGCGTTTTAAAAAGTGTCCGAATATTAATGGGAGTCACTGTGCGTACAGCAAACGCCAAAGTATTTGATCAAACGTGCCTCCAGGAATAAGTGTCGCGAATCTGAATCGATATGGCGCATTACGGTACTGCTTGGCTTCAACGTTAAAGTATGAAGGTTTCGACGTAAGCAAAGTTGAACACGAATACACGTCGAGAACTCGCGAGATCGATTAAACCGCGAACTTGCGACAAGCGTGAAATGATTTTGACGAAGAGACAACAACAAGATGAGATTTCTTACACCACTACGACTGTTGTTGTTGGACGAGTCGTCCTCCTCCTCGTCGTCCGCACTTCCGTCCTCCTTCTTCGACCTCTTCTTGGAATCGTCGCCGCTTCCGTTTGCCCGCCTCTTCGTTTGCAACGTCAACTTCAAACCTTGCGAATAATACAAATAAATAGTTTAGTAATGATATAAATAGTTTCGCCGAATAATGATAAGATATCGACAAAGAGACTCAAGGATACACGGAAGCGTTTCGCGCCAAATGGAACGTCGGATCGATAAAATATAAATTTCGAATAATTATTTATTTACAGGGCACACCACGCTAATTTTCACCCGAACCTTCGTTGAGCCTTACGAGGAGAGGCCCCTAGGTGTAATGTTAATTTTTTCTGGAGATTTTGCACGTGGTAGACGGCTCATAGTTTTTGAGATATTTCATTCTAAAATTGTTAGTAACAAAGCTAGAGAGATAAGCTAGATTTTGGGCGTTGGGCGAAAAGGGGATGTCAGAGAAGTGTTCACGAGTGGTGGAGTGGGGGAAACAAAGCTATGAGAAGACTCAGTCACTCCGATTCCTCATCGCTCGCATCCCTCTCCACTATTCCCCCACCACTCCTCTCTCTAAATTGTCCATTTTGTTAACAAGATGAAGGAAAATTGGGGAGAATTTACTGTACTTTTTTTTACAAATTCTATGGGTTATTCTAACCCGTCTTGACATAATCTGGTTACGGTTAAGGGGAGGAGGTGTTAGGATCCCTGCTGCAAACTGGAGCTGATGATCTGACACTCATGTTCAATGAGCATTGAACCAAACCGATAATTTATAAGAATTCTTTCGTATAAAAATAACAATATTTTTGACCCGCGCTGCAATAAATATCAACCAGATTATTTACCTCATTTTTATATTTTTTATATTCTTTTATTTTTTATTCTGACACTCATGTTCAATGAGCATTGAACCAAACCGATAATTTATAAGAATTCTTTCGTACAGAAATAACAATATTTTTGACCCGCGTATTATTTATACGATAAATATCAACCAGATTATTTACCTAATTTTTATAACATAATTATTAATTTGGTCAATCGATTTGCGACGGTTTGAGCAAACTTTTCGTTAAAAAACAACGATCGAGCAAGAAGAAAGATTGTTTAGAACGATGTCCTTGATAGGATATTTCAAGGCCGTCGAAATTGGCGAGGTGTGTAGCAGAGTAAATAATTACTAAACTTGAACTGTACTGATCCGACGCGACCCGACCCGACCCGATCCGATTTAACCCGACCCGACCCGACCCAAGCTGGTATTTAGTTGCGCGCTAGCGGCAAACGTGGAGACTAGAACTAAGCGACGGCAAGGTCGAGACGGCCTTGGGTCACGGGATTCGAAAGGACGAGACAAAAGAAAGACGGTCGCGACCCGGTAGGATATCAAGGTCACCACCGGATGGGTACCTTCTTTAATGAGCTGACTACAGGTGTGCTGAACACTCGGTGGGCTCGGCTCACCGCTGCTAATCGAATCCGTACGATCCCTGCTCCTCTCGCTCGTGTAATCCTCGAAGGGATTGGTCATGGCGATTAGGGAGTTTACGATTTCCGGTGTCCTTGGCGTGACCTCGGCCGCCGCGACACCGAGAAGACCGGCGGCAGCCGCTGGATTAGGATTCACATTCACGTTCAGGTTGTACATGGTCGCTTATTACCATTTAACCTGGAACAAGAACAAACGGGGGCCTCAGTGATTACGCTTTTACGGAATCTCTCTTTTGTTTGCGTATTCGGCGCGCCTAAGTCTAATCTCGCGTTCTCGGTTGTCGTGGTCATTTTTCAAACGGTCGGCTCGGTTGACAAATTTTCTACGACAAATCGTTGACGAACGTTGTTGGGAAACGTCTCGGGCGAAATCTGGTCGAAATCGGGACCTGTTGTTGCTTTAACACCGGTTGAAAATTAAGTATTAACGCTCGGACATACGTGAAACGCGAGAAATATAAAAATGATTTCTGAGAAATTATGGCAAAATTGCGAAATAATAAAATTTCTGCGAAATAGTAATATCTATTCTGCATTTGTTATGGAGAGCAGAAGACGAATTTTCTTTGAGTACAATCTTTTGATGCTGCAACAAATTCTCCCTAATTGACGCTCATATTGTACACCAAAATGGAAAATTTGGGAAGAGTAGATACGATTGTTTCGCAATTAGGGAGAATTTACTGTACTTCGAAAATTATTCATTTGGACTTAGATATGAAGTATTGTCTGCCTGTTTTATGGTCCGAGTGATTTTTGTGACCAGAACTACGCTTGCTTCGACGACAATTTGCATTGTCATACCGGAAATATTGGGTTGGCAACTAATTAATCGCCGATTTCAGTTATAGATGTCTCTCACTCCCATTTTTATGGTATCCGTAAATGTTATATATAAAATTATTATTATTATTATTATTATTATTATGTTATTTTTTATTATCCGTGACCTAATTGACGCTCATATTGTACACCAAAATGGAAAATTTGGGAAGAGTAGATACGATTGTTTCGCAATTAGGGAGAATTTACTGTACTTCGAAAATTATTCATTTGGACTTAGATATGAAGTATTGTCTGCCTTTTTTATGGTCCGAGTGTTTTTTGTGACCAGAACTACGCTTGCTTCGACGACAATTTGCATTGTCATACCGGAAATATTGGGTTGGCAACTAAGTAATCGCCGATTTCAGTTATAGATG